CCACAACAGCAACGTAACTACTTTACTCCTTTTCACCACTTTACAAGTGCCTCAAGGAGTGGGGGACTGGAGGACCCCCTCGGGAAAATCATTAAATTACAAAATCTGTGAAATTCCAACAAACAACAAAGCAAGCCCTCAAGTCCCGACATGTGTGTAACTGAGGGACTGCCTTCGGCAGGGACATAAAAGCAACAACTCCTCACCAACTTCAGAGATCACGACGGGACAACATCAAAGGGCAAGCACAAATTACTCCTTTTCCCTCAAGTACCTTTCGGCAAAAGGAGTGAGGGACTCCTGATGGAGTATATGGCCCGGGAACCCCCGGCCCACAGACTCCTACTACTCCAGCGAAGGCCCAAAAGGCCCAACAGGCCCAAATCACAGCGCCCAGAGTACCAGGCAGTCCGCACTACGCGCCAGGGGTGCCTTCGGCCCCCTGGCCGAAGGCTCCAAATTCTCACAGGACGGGTTTCTCAAGCAAATTAAGAGACTGGGAGAAAACGGCGAAAACAGTAGCCCTCGGCACTGTGAGCCCTCGGCACCAGGGTGCCATCGGGTGGAAGAGCCCTCGGCTACTGCTCTATAGCCGAAGGCATCTCACTCGACAAGATATCCGCCTCACATGCGTACAGATCACCGTACCCCGCACAGACGTCCCGTCCAACAGCCGCATTAAATGCGGCCACATGCGACTGCCAGCGCCAACCAGTTGAGGTGACCCCTCGGCCAATGAGCGCTTGACACGTGTCCCTGCCCGGCATTTATTGCTACTATAAATAGCACCCCATTTCCCCATTTGTAACCACGCTGAAAACGGCATTCATACTGAATACACTCTCTCTCTACTTTTACTTACTTGCTCTGACTTCTCTCTAAGTTATTCCCCGTAATAACCCTTCGGATATATACCCCCGGGTAGACTATCCATCACATCCCTGTGAGGAGAATAAGTAGGAGGGAGATCTGCGTTGGTAAAGGTGATGGGTTCCTCCCTCAGTCGCTTTACCGGGGGCATATGAGTGACTTCCCCCACGTAAAGCGATTGAGCCCACTTCTTTCGTTGGCTGGTGGAATCGCCCCCTGTATTGCCACCGGTGATCATGAGGATGTGGCGTTTCTTCTCCTGGTAGTGGGGGTACTCCTCCTCTTCTTCCAAGTTTCCGATCTCCCTCTTCTTGCCGAGGGGGATGGTGTTCGGATTTATCCAGGTATTTACCTTCGTATGGTGCCCTCGGGGAGGTCCCTGATGAGAAGGTCCCTCCTGCCGAGGGCTCTGGACAAACTGGGACAGGTGCCCCGCCTGTATTAATCTCTCGATGGACGTCTTCAGCTGATGGCAGTCATCAGTCCTGTGCCCCTGGTGCCGATGGAAGCGACAGTAGGGGAACTGAGGGTTGATAGCGTGTACTTCCGGGGGTGCGCGAGAGTCGCGCTCAACGAGGCCCCTCTCCTCGGCAAAATCGAGGATGATGCTGACGGGGTGCGTCAATGGTGTCCGAGGGCGGTCCAGGAGAATGGGCTGGGCCCAAGTCTTAGGGTTGCTCTTATAACCTCCCCCGGGCTTGGCTTGGCCTTGCCGAGGGCGGTCATCCGAGGGTCCCGAAGCCTTGGGGTGATTTGGAGGAGCCCCCGGCCCTCGGTTATGCTTGTTGTCTGCCCTCGGGGGCTGCTGGTCCGGATGCTGGTGATACTTCTCCACCTCCTCGGCCTCAGCATATCGGTCCCCCCCGCTGCAAAGCCCTTATGTAGTCGCGGGGGGGGGGGGGGGGGGGGTTCAATGATGAGGCTCCTTGAAAAGTTACCGGTGCGGAGGACGGTTTGTAGGAGGGCCAGGAGGGTCCCGTCATCAACACCGTCGACCTTGTCGGCCTCCGTCCTCCAGCGCTCCAGGAAATCCTGAAGGGTCTCATCCTTCTTCTGGCGTATTGTTAGGAGGTGGGAGAAGTGCTTCCTTGTGCGACGCCTCCCGGCGAATTGTGTCAAGAATCGTTGGGCGAGTTCTTGCCACGAATCAATGCAGCCCTCGGGCAGCCTGTTGAACCATTCGTATGCCGGTCCCTCTAAGGTGGAGAGGAACCAACGACACAAATATTCGTCCGACGCCCCCACCATCATCATGCTGTTCTGGTACTTGCTGTAATGTTCCTGGGGGTCCGTTTTTCCGTTGTAGGGCTGTATATGTTGCCCTCGGTACTTTTCCGGGATCCGGGCCGCCAATACCCTTGGAGTAAATGGCGTCCGAGTCCGGAGCTGGATGACGGGTTCCTCGGAGCCCTCGGCCACCCTCTTCTGTAACTCCTCCATTTTGGCCATCATGGCCTCGTATTTGAGATCTGAATGAGGGGTGGAGGTGGTGGCGTGAGCTTTGTTGGACTCCATCTCGTCAAGCCGGCGTTGGAGGGCCGCAATAATCTCGTCCCGGGGATCCTTCGGGAGGGTCTTCGCCCCCTGCGAACGAACCCGGGCAGAGTGGGCCTGGTTGATTTGGTGCTGGGCATCATCGGCATGAAGGGGTGCCTTGCCTTTGTCCCGAGAGGGACGCTCCTCGTCTGCCCTCGAAACAGATCCCCCGCTTTCCTGGGGCCTTTGGAGTGCTTTCCCTCCGAGGCGGTCTTGGACCCCTCGGCGGTCTGGCCCTCCTCCGAGCCGATTGAGGGCGGAAGTACGGGGCCTTTCCTTGTTGTCATTATGGCGGTCCCGGGACTGAACTTCCTGGGAGGACGTATCTTGGGCCACCACCCCTTCGTCGTTTCTCACCCGAGGGGCGGGATTTCCGAAGGGGTGTGGCAGAGGGGGAAGTATGATATTTTCCCCGATCTGAGGGTGAGCTGGAGCCAGGGTGCCGAAGGCACCCGGGTTCTGGGTGAGCGTCTGGATGAAGGCGGAGAGCGCCGATTGCACGTCGATGGTGAGAACCGGAGGGCTGACTTGGTCATCGCTCCGGTTCTTCTTCTTGGCCTCGATGCCGAGGCGGGCATCGGGGGCATTTTGTTGGATCTGAAGGCGTAGGTCGACAGCCGCCTGTTCCAGCCCAGCGATGACACCGCCCTCGGGAGCCCTGTGAGAGGCTTCGGGGGCGTTGACGTCGCCGAGGGCCAGGTTCTTGTCTTCTACGTTCTTTGAGTTGGCACGTGTTGTCCTCACCATTTTGATAGAGGGCTAGTGTTTTGTGTTTGGTCGAGGGGGAGGGTTTCTTACTCGATTGTTCAACCTCTCAATGAAAGCACCAAATGATGGATAGTCTACCCGGGGGTATATATCCGAAGGGTTATTACGGGGAATAACTTAGAGAGAAGTCAGAGCAAGTAAGTAAAAGTAGAGAGAGAGTGTATTCAGTATGAATGCCGTTTTCAGCGTGGTTACAAATGAGGAAATGGGGTGCTATTTATAGTAGCAATAAATGCCGGGCAGGGACACGTGTCAAGCGCTCATTGGCCGAGGGGTCACCTCAACTGGTTGGCGCTGGCAGCCGCATGTGGCCGCATTTAATGCGGCTGTTGGATGGGACGTCTATGCGGGGTACGGTGATCTGTACGCATGTGAGGCGGATATCTTGTCGAGTGAGATGCCTTCGGCTATAGAGCAGTAGCCGAGGGCTCTTCCAACCGATGGCACCTGGTGCCGAGGGCTCACAGTGCCGAGGGCTACTGTTTTCGCCGTTTTCTCCCAGTTTCTTAATTAGCTTGAGAAACCCGTTATGTGAGAATTTGGAGCCTTCGGCCAGGGGGCCGAAGGCACCCCTGACGCGTAGTGCGGACCGCCTGGTACTCTGGGCGCTGTGATTTGGACCTTTTGGGCCTGTTGGGCCTTCGCTGGAGTAGTAGGAGTCTGTGGACCGGGGATTCCCGGGCCATATACTCCATCAGTACCATCAATGAAATATTCATTTTAATAAAAGCAACGGTCAACCAAATCATGGGTCATGCAATCATATTCTTGCAAGCCAAGATTCTTTCCTTAAAAGAATTACAATCAATATTTTAGCTAAGAGTGGTTTTTTCAAATCCTGTGGCAAGGAGCCATTTACTTGACAACTTAATTATGCTACAGTCAATTTATAAAGGTAGCAATGATACCTTCTTCCATAAAATATCAAGCTATATATGTCAACTCATTAAAGAGAATGTTTATTCATGCATGGAAAGAGATTTAAATTGTGCCATGTATATGAACTCATCACGTATATTGTAACAAAGTATTATCATGCACGCACTCATCAAATATCAAGCATGCCAATTATTTATGTAGAACAGAACTGAGTACGGTTCTAATGTTTGTTCTTGATAGAATTGATAGTAGTTCTATCCGTTGTTCCACCTACATGGTTAGTCAAATAAACGTAATGCTTGTTTGGACCTTAGGATAGTTCTATCCTTTGTTTCTGCAGGGTTAGTCATCAACAAAACTATATACTCAACAAATTCCTCCTTTTTGTTGATGACAAACCCAGGTGCCAAAAAGAAACATTCCTGCAGATTAGTATTAAGTAAAACATAGCAGCAATTTAAGTGTAGCAGCAAGTAGAGGCACCTGATTATTTCCCCTTTTGGCATCAACCAAAAAGAAACAGGAGATAACCAAAACAATGTCTTGCAGTTGAAATGTAATATCAAAAGTGTAATACCAAAAGTGTAATGTTAAATATAGACCCCCACCCAAAGTTTAAATAAGTGTCAATTCACTCTTCGTCAGAAGAGTAGATGATCTTCCTGTGCACCCCACCCGAAGACTCATCCAGCACAAACACCTCATTCTTGAATGTTTGAAAGTTATTGCGGATGATGCTTTGGGACTCAGCCAACTGAGTCCCAAAGCTGGACGAGTGGACGAGTGTGCTGGGGGGCCAACTTCTCAAAATTGATTCTAATTCTGGTGTTAATAAATGAGACGTGTAGACGGGTTGTGTCACCTACAAGTCTAAAAAATCAAAGTTTTCTTGGTGACACAAAAATTTACTTCAAGTAAATTTACTAAAATAGGCCTCTGTTGTTTTTTCACATTTGATCTCCAATTGCACTGAAACCGCTCATCAACGTTAATGTTGTGTTCCACTTCGAAGCAGAAATCCGGCGGTTCTAAATGGCTAGACCGACTCCGATCATCCAAGGGCTTCCCACCCGGTGACTTCGTCAACCTCGAACACTTCTTGCTTCACCATACTTCTACTTCGCTCAATTCTCCCCCAATTAACCCCGCTCGTCCGAGGTCGGAAGACATCAGTTCCGAATTCTGCTCGAATGGAGCAGGATCGGAGAAAGAACCAGTGCTTGAAGCTTCTGTCAACGGCGGAGGCACGAAATTGGTCAATGCTTTTAGTCATGTCCTCTCCGAGCTTTTTAATATGGGAGAATCGAGTAATTATGCAGCACATAAAATGGTGTCTCGGAAACAATCGAACCCTAGGATTTTCTCTGCTTTTACTTCGGCGGAATTTAGTAATGTTTCTGGCTCCACGGATGAACGAGGGAAACTAAGAATAGTGTCACCCATCAGTGATGATCAGACTAGAGTAGAAATGAAGAAACTGAACGGCCAGGTGAAGCTACTGGAGCAAGGGCAGGATTTAGTGGTGAGTGAGGAGAAGATGGATGCAAATTTATTGGGATATTCCAGGTGTGAGGTTACTGTGATTGACACGAGCTGCGAGCCATGGAAATTTGATAAATTGTTGTTCAGAAAGAAGACTGTATGGAAGGTTTGTGACAAGAGAACAAAGACACTATATCTAGGCAAGAAGAAGAAGAGAGAGGTAAGCGCAGAAGATAACAATGTTGGCGGAATGAAGAAGCAAAACGTTTCAATTGGAGGAGAAAGTAAATTTCTAAACCTTGAAGTAAGTTGGATATATATTTAAGTTTTGCTTTCATCGTGTCCCCTTTTTTTTCTTTCAATTGTGATCTGCTTTTCAAAGGGAACTGGGAGAGTAATTAAATAATTTATTATTATCTATTTTGTTTCTACCCAAATGGTAATCCTGGGTACAATTATCTTATAATCTTAGGTAATTTATTCAGCAAATATATGACTGCTGCTTTGCCTAGTTACTAATAAGCACACCACAATCGATGATGTAAATTTGTCAACTTCTTACAAGCAAAAATGAAACAAGAATAGATATGATATGAATTACTCCAATCATATTAAACAATGAGTCTTTGCCAATCACTTGGGATGTTCTCAAGAAAATGTTTGTAGTAAATCACTAGAGAAGTTTATGCCTCCTTCCCTCCTGGCTGATTAAAAGCTAATAGGCTCCCTTTTCGTAACCGTTAGGAGTTAACTTGTCATAACTATTTGGTGTGTGCGAAATAGATCGGCAAATGTAGGATTGCTGAACATGGTGTGGTTAAACACTTCAACCTATGTTCAGAAAAACATGGATGATATTTATGAATTTGGGGAATTTTTGCAAAGATGGTTTGGAGGTGTTTGTATGTTACTTCATACATGGTTTGTGATATTTAATTACCAAAAATAGTACTCCTCATAGATCATACATGGGGAGTATGTATTTTTAGATTTTATAGACATCCTCATTTCACCGTGTTTGTCCAATTTTGCAGTTTCATTGGTCCAAAACTTTTTTGCTCATACCTTATTTGACCATATTTATGTGGTTCTAAATTATGGATAGTGATTAGTGAACCACAAGATTCCAGATGTTCTTAGTTTGTTGCCATTCCCGTTTGTCCCTAAGTGGGAAGGAAGTACTATTTCTATCATTAAATTAATATTTAGTCAAAAATGAGTTATTAATTTTACATTATAATAAATGTTGTTCCATTTGATAAATGAATAATGCCTAATTAGAGTTTAAAGTAACTTTTGAATATTCATGAAAAGAAAACACGGTCTAATAAGGAAATTATGCACATCATACAGAAAGATTTTTTTTTGCATATGCTACAATATGATCTATGAAAGCGACATAGCGTCTTGAATACAATCCGTTGATAAAGATGCGATGATAACTGTGTACAGTATTTGACAAAACTGCACACTTGATGTTTTTCACTCTCTCCTTGAGTGATTTCCTCGCTATCTCAAATGTTGAAGAAACATGTGTTTGCAAGGGTTATTAGGCTAATGCATTGAATTTGAATATTGTTAGCTTGTTGGATCAGTCCATTGCCGCTACGTGTAACTACTCCTTCTGGTTCAAAATAATCTTCTGTTGGAGTTCGTTTCACGCAGATTATGAAAGCTATTTATTAGACCATCTTTGTTATGAATCGTGCAGGGACTTCAACCACTGGATAAACTTGAAGATGCTTGTTAAAAGAAGTCAAACACTGTTGGGTCTTCTCAGGAGAAGAACAGGGATTTGTAAGAATGGATTACATGCTTTTCTGGTTCTTTTTTCTTCACAATCTTTTGTTGCAAAGCACTTATGTTTTTACCTGGACTGTAATTTGCTGGTCTGGTCTGTTTTGGTCTGGTCTGGTTTGAAATTTTGTTTTTTATATTTTTTGCATAAAGATTTTATCTTTTATATATTTATATATATTATAATTCATAAATAATTATATTTTATTCATTTATAATTAATAATAATAATATTCCTTCCAATAACTATTATTTCCAATAGTAGTAGTACTACTACTAATACTAATAATAATAATAATAATAATAGTAGTAGTAGTAGTAATAATAGTAATAATACTAACAATACTAACAATAACAACAACAACAACAACAATAATAATAATAATAATAATAATAATATGGTCTGTTATGTTTTGGTTTGGGACGAATTACGGTCAAAGTAAAAACAACCTTAATATGGTGTCGGTTTATTTTTGCAGTGCACCAGAGAAAGCAAAGGTTGTTCTTATTAAAGAGTAAAAAAATTCCGAAGTAAGAAAAAAAACCTAGGTTTGCCAGCAACCTAGGTTGGAATGGGCATCCCCTGTCATCGTCCACCCAAAGCTTTAGATATGAGGATGATGGCAGAATATGGTTTGCCAGCAGACGAACAGAACCTAGGTTTGTTAAAAAACCATTTACTTTTATTTTGTCGTAACATTCATAGTTACCTGGGATTCGATATATCGATCAGATCCATACAAAAATATCTCCACTCCAATTCAATTTATGTTTTTGCAATGGTAAAACAAGATTACTTCCCCATCCAACATTTAAATGCATATTAACTGTTAATGTTTAAGTATGATAAAATTTTGAATATGATAAAAAATCAATATATAATATCTGATATTAAAGAAGAAGGAAATGCTCCCATTCTCCTTCTTCATTCCATTTTTGGCTACACAGAAAAGTTTATACGTAGTACCTTTTATATTCTACTCGAAATCCTTTCGTGTTTTCTTTTCTGGTTCATCAACGCGCACACAAGCATAGGCCAGAATAGAATTGTTACTAATGGGTACATATGTACAATTATGAGTATTTTGGCTTGCATCCTTAACTATATTTTTTTGCGTTGTCTACACAGTGTGAAAAAATACATTATCTAACAGAAAATATATTTTAGAGAAACAACAACAGAAAACTAAATATATTTACAAAAGGAACGAAGATTATTTTTTAATTTTAGGAAACTTTAAAGTATATGAAATGAAGTGTTAATAATTGCTCTAGACATTAAAGTCAATGTCCATCAACTTGAAACAAAGTTAAAAAAAACCCTCTCAATTTGATTCATTTTAGTGATGGGATATTCACTTTACTTTGATGTTTCACTTTTTACTTTGCCCATTTTTGCGTTTAAGACTTTTTCTAATTCATGATGCATCCTTCCATAAGCACTGAAGCACTTTGAACTTCCATTACACCAACTAGTGGAACATATTCTTAATCATTTAATACTTTACCTTGAACATATACTCCGTATAATTTTTGAACTTTAAGCTTCATGCGAATAACTTGGCCAGGAGTGATCACTTTTACTTGACCTCATATAAAAACCCAAAATTCTGAGAATAACAATAATTTAAACCGCCCATCAAAATACAACAAAGTGAATAGATAACTACCATATCACAATATACCCCACACATTGATATCATATAGTTGATCTATCCACAATGAGGTATTCAGTAAAGAGGTTCTACATGTATATTGGTATCATACATCTACAAACTACATTCACCGCGAAGAGATCAAATAAAAAGATGTTCTCCCGTGCAAAGTGCGAACAATTGCACTTTTTCTTCACCGCGTTGCACTTTTACGTGTTTCTATTGTAATTTTTCGCGATTGCAAAAAATTTCATTTTAAGTATGAAATTGTCACCGCGTTTTGATCGAATTTAGTTCACTTTTGGTTCATTTTGAGCCATTAGATCTCAAAATGAACGCACGAGATTAATTCTCACTTTGCATGGGAAGACCTCTTTGTATTTGAACCCTCCTATATATATATATATAGATATATATATATTGTTTGTACATCACTCCAAAAGTGGCGTGAATGGACACGCCAAATAGTAGGGCACTAACAGAGGTTTTTCAATTTTAAAGAAAACTGAAAATGTGGGAAACAAAAATAGAAAACATGTTTACCGAAGAAATCGCTCGAAAATTAGAGAGAAAAAACAGAAATTGCGTTTACCAAATCGTTTTCCAAAACAAAAAATGAGATATCTCTATGTTTTCCTTAATAAATTGGAGAAGTGAGGTTTACAAGTTTTTCAAATTTCAAATACGGTAGTACTTGAATACTGCAATGGCGCTGCAAAGAATTTGCATACTTATACGTAGTGATGGATCCGGTCCCGCTTCAGTGTCAGATTTGGTTCGGTCCGATCAACGACCCAACAGTCCCTATCTGGTCCAGTCAATGACCCGACAGTCCAGATAATAAGGCTCTGGAAAGTTATGAGTACTGCTTCAAAGCTTCCATTTACTTTAGAGATGGTTCTCATGGATGAATCAGCAATTATATTTCATTTCATTGTTCTACAATAATCAGTATACAAGCAAATGTCTTCTTCGTATTGTTAATCTTATTTCTGATTGCTTCTTCATTGTTTTCCAAATCGTTTGCCAAATCGTTTAATATTCAAACATGCTCTGAATTTCTGTATTTTTTTTACAGTAATCTATTTGGCCAAAATGATTTCCAGTTATCCGAATTTAGTTCGTTATACATTTAATGCACGTAAAGTTATGTGTTTTAGTAATCTGTTTCAAAAAATTGAATCTCCAACTCAAGAGCAACGACAAAGTATATGATAGAGGCCGTTTGGCAACATTGTTTTTTGTCATATCAGGCTTATCAATCAACTTTTTCACCAAACACGTAACTTTTACTTCTCGCGCTGAGTTGTGTAATAACCAGAAAAAGTAAGGTTGAGGTTACTTTTCCGGCTGTATTGGTTGAAGTTACTGTAGATGATCATTTTAGCTGTTTTTACATATATATTTTTCTTTATTTTATTAATAAAATATATTTTAAAAATAATTTTTTCTTAAATCAGCAGAATTAGCCAATGCAGTCACTTCAGCCAGAATTTCATAAATTTCAATAGAATCAGCCAAATCAGCCAACTTTCATGCTACCAAACGGGCTCGATGAGTTGTAAATCGTGCTATCTGTATCTTTTAATAATGTTTTCACATGAAGTGGTTCTAGTCATAGGCATTTTAAACTTGATTTAAAGTTTTAAACGAACAAAAGATTAAACTATAACAAACACTCAGCGGTCAAACTAGATCAAATTTGGTTAGAAAAATGAATTTGAATGAAAACACGTGTACTTTAAAATACAGCAAATATGTTGAACCAAAGCAAAGAAGCAAAGAACCAAAGCAAAGAAGCAAAGAACCAAATAAAATGTCTACATTTCATAAAAAGTAGATGAAATGAAAGGATATTTATATTGGAGCACAATAAGGTATAGTGGCTGAAGTAGTTGAATGTGATAAAATTGTTCTAAATTTCATTTATTTGATTGAAAGCGTTAAATTAAGAAAGTGTGCAAATTATATTATTAAAGTGACCATATTTCAGCAACAACGCCATCGATCTACGGGGTTTTTCTTCCACTATTATTTGTGCGACTATTTTTCTTCTTTTCCTTTGGCGAGTTTAAGACTATTTTTCTTCTTTTCCTTTGGCGAGTTTAAGCGAAGGGAAGATGATGCTTGGTCTCTGGCGATGATCGAAGGTTGTGCAAGGACGGAAGACGGATGCTTGTTCTTTGGCTGTCAATGGTCATGGACGAAGCGTGGGACTAGAAACTGGAAGAGATCTGGATTTGAGATCATCCATGTTAGGTGGCGACATATGAAGCTTGATAGAGAACATGATGAATAAGAGGCAAGCCGAGGAAAAAGTAACAGTACTGCTCGATCGTCCCCCTCCGGAACCGCCGCCATGGAGTGCAGGAGAATCTAGGGTTTGGAAGCAGTTTTTTAATTTTAATGTTTGCTTGCAATTTATTTTTCATGATCAGCCTATTTATTTTTCTATTGGTTACTTTTATTATTGTAAGACTCTTGCATTAAGATTGGGTGATGGGAGACCTGCTTCAACCGTCTTTGGCCCAGTAGCGCCCAATAATGGATCAACGAGTTATATTGCTTTTCAAAAACAAAAAATGAGATATCTCTATGTTTTCCTTAATAAATTGGAGAAGTGAGTTTTACAAGTTTTTCAAATTTCAAATACTTGAATACTGCAATGGCGCTGCAATGAATTTGCATACTTATGCGTAGTGATGGATCTGGTCCCGCTTCAGTGTCAGATTCGGTTCGGTCCGATCAACGACCCAACAGTCCCTATCTGGTCCAGTCAATGACCCAATGGTCCCTAACCGGTCCGGTCCAGTCAATGACCCGACGATCATGTCCGGTCAACAACCCGATGATCTCAGTTTGCTCTGGTCAATGACATGGCAGTACCTATCCGTTTCGGTCACGGTCATGCAGTCCTGGTCTCGTCTAATCGGGTCAATGACCCGACGATCCCTGTCTGGTCAGACCAACGACCCAGCGGTCCCTGTTCGGTCAACGATACGACAGTCCCCGTCCGGTTTGATCGATGGTCTATGTAATACTTGAGATTTAATTTAAATGGATTAATAGTCTACTCATACCAACAAGGTACATCTCCTTTTAAGGGAGCTCATTAGGCAAGAACTCCAAATTTAAGCGTGCTTGCACGAGATTAGTCTTGGGATGGGTGACCCCCTGGGAAGTTTCTCAGGGCGTGCACGAGTGAGGACAAAGTGCGCGGAAAAGGCTAGTGGCGGTTTGTGAGGACAGTACTAGAGGTCAGAAGTAACTACTTCGGAGCCTACGGGGCCGGGGTGTTACAAATGATATCAGAGCAACCCTGCGACACTGTGCTGATCCGTTGGATATCGGGCGGGCACTTAGCAGGGGAAAAGATTCTAGGATATGATTGAGATTGGTTTATGGGCGCAACGAGGACGTTGCGTTCCTAAGTGGGGGTGATTGTAATACTTGAGATTTAATTTAAACGGATTAATAGTACTACTCATACCAACAAGGTGCATCTCCTTTTAAGGGAGCTCATTAGCCAAGAACTCCAAAGTTAAGCGTGCTTGCACGAGACTAGTCTTGGAATTGGTGACTCCTGGGAAGTTTCTTAGGGCGCGCACGAGTGAGGACAAAGTGCGCGGAAAAGGCTAGTGACGGTTTGTGAGGACAGTACTAGAGGTCAGAAGTAACTACTTCGGGGCCGGGGTGTTACAGTCTGAGAGTCTCGATCCGCTTCGGTCAACGACACAGTGCCCCATCCTTTCCAATCGATGACCCGACGGTCTTTGTCTGGTCCGGCCGACGATCGCGCGGTCGCGTTCCCAAGTTGGTCGCATCAACGACCCGATGGTCCCTGTCCAGTCCGGTCGATGACCCGATGATTCGATTCCCGTTTTTTAAATCATTTTTAAAGTAAAAAGTTTTCAAAGAGGCATTGAGTGTCAACCAATAGGGAAAATTAAATGGAAAATAATTAGTCAAACTAGCCACTGGGACCTACCGGGATCACCTTGTTTCGGTCTCGACTTTCCTATACTCAGGATTGGGTACCCTATTTGGTCTGTACTAGGTTCGGTTCCGGATCGGGACCATACTTTCGCTCTTTCGGTCGGTCGCACAATCGGGTGAAAAAATCAGATGAACACGTTTTCAGATTTGAAAATAGAA